CAAAAAATACTGAAGGACATATTAGAGAGAGAGAAAAAAAAGACCATAGTTTCAAGAACAGTGACAGAGGAAGCTTACTGAGTGGGGCAGACAGTGAAATGAAGGATAAAAGAAGACAACTAATGGCAGAAAATAGCGTGGTAGAGATGAGGCAGAGAAGATTGGCCATAGTCACTAACATGGATGGACTCGAGACACTAATAAAAAGAAACACAGGCAGAGTGGATCAGGAGATAGAGCCCATCAAGTTGTTCTATATAACAGACATATTTAACTTGAAAAAGGTTTTATGGACTGAAAGTCATAGATGAGAAAATAATGCTGTATGTGACAGGGACTCAGAAAAAAGTGGGGTAGTTCACCTATCAGCTGCAGATTGGTTGGAAAGACATAACACTTTTATACAATGGAGAACTACTCAGCTATAAGGAAGGAAAACCTTGAGGCTTTTGTAGGTAAATGGATACAACTTGAGACCAAGCTCAGGGGTAAAAAGGTTCAGAACCACTTAGGTAAATAGCTGGTTGCTTCCCTAACCTAAAAACTAAAGGAGTTAGTGGACTACAAAATGTACAATGCACCCTGGGAAAATGAAAGGGAGGAAATTGTCTAAATAGGGAATTGTTAATCTTGTTATTGTTAATCTTGAATCGTGATCTGAAACCCATAGTGTTTTCATCTATTTGTTTAGTTTGGTCATATTCTGTTTTGTTTGTCTACTTGTATTAGATTTGAGGGCATAGACAACTATTCCAAAGATAGCAGAATATACTACCTGATTATTTTTAATTTCCTATTATTTTAATCTGAAACCCTGTATTGCTTTCACTGCCTTGTGTTGACTGATTTTTATTGAATCTGTCTTGTTCAATTGTTGTCTTGTCTTGACTGATTTTATTCAAATCTGTTATGTGTGATTAGTATCAAGTCTGAGAGTATAGGCAACTACTCTGAAGACAGAGAGATTCACTATGATACCCATTCTGGCTTGACTATTACCCTCTTTTGAAGTCCTATAATGTCTCCAATGTTTTGTTTTAATTGATTTTGTTCCATACTGCTATGTTCAATTTTATTATACCTGATGATATGGGCAATTCTATTAAAGATAACGAGACATCATGGTAACCATTGTGAATCACCTTGTATTGTGGTTTTAAATTATGTACTATGTCATCCTTTTGTTTTGAATTACCCCATTTTTTTCTCATTTGGTTTTATTCTTTTTACAATAAAAAAAACAAAATTAGACAATCCAGAAGTAAACAATTGCTTGATTTTTCTGAATCCAAAATCTTTGCAGTAAATGCCTGTGTGATTTAGTCCTCTTGACTTCCTTCTTTGTCCCTTTCCTACTTTCTGTGTGTCCCAGTCACACTTGTCACTTTTTGTGTTTCCTCCTAGGTCAGGCTTCTTTCCACTTTAAGACCTGGGCTGCTGTCCTTTTGATTCTCTGCTTGGTTAATTCTGTCTCGTTGTTTAATCTGCCTGTTCAAGCACCACTTCCTGAGAGAGATGTATGGGGCTACCGGCCCTTTATAGTCATGGATATCTCACCTAATTGTATTGGCTTCCTGGAATTTGTGACTGTCTGAAGTTATATTTTTCGCATGTGTATTGCCTATCTTCTCCTTCTAAAAATGTAATTTGCATGAGAAAAAAAATGCCTTGTTGAGAAGTCAGTGACAGCAGTTCCATACTGGATGTCAATTACAGCATGCTGAATGGATGAATGGTCTTTTGTTGCAATGAGATTACAGGAGGAAAACCAGAGATTTTGACTTGTAATTCCAAATCAGGAATTTTTACGTAATAATGAATATTAAAAATTAATAATTGTGAATGTTACATAACAATTAGAAAAATTCCAGGTATATAGCTAATTAGATATTTCAACTGTTTTATATGATTTAGTTCCTGCAGCTCTACAAAACAGGTATTAATTACTATTACTACCAATTTATAGATGCACAAATTGTAGTCCTTGCACATTAAAGTGTACCAGCCTTCAATGTAAGAGATTCAGAAACAGGTAGTTGAGTCAGTGCTGTTTATTGCCGAATAGAAAATGTTTAATAAATATGGCTTCAGCTATGTGCATAGCACTGAGCTGAATTGTTCCTATGCTATATATCATTCCATCCTGTCTTCAAAACTATGAAATAAGCACTGTTCTTATGCGTGTCTACAAATGAGGAGGCTGAGACTTAGAAAGCTTCGGCAGCTTCGCTGAAGTCCCACAGCCGCCTACTGATAGAAAGTGCATTTAAATGTACACAAATGTGACTCTAAGATCTGTAATTTTATTTGTCCTCTCCATATCACAAGAGCACATGTGCATTTTCATGTTAGTGCCATCATTGTGAGGTTTGTGAAAGAGATTGGATTGGCCTCCCGTCTCCAAGCATCTCCACTGGTGTAAAGAGCTTCCCTCTTAGGACTGCTTCCTTTTGTCCCATAGGTTCCTGTGTGTCATGGTGGCATTGTCATTTGCTTCTGGAAATTACTTAATTTCTTTCTTGATGTTTTCTGTGACCCATTATGTATTCATGAGTGTGTTATTGAGTTTTGAGGTGTTTCTAAATATTCTGTGTTTTGGAGGAGTACTCTTTTTCTATTTTTGTTGCACAATGTTTCAGTAGTAAACACGGGGTGATTTTGATTCTTTTATATTTATTTAAGAGGGTTTGTGGAAGTATGTGATCTATTTTGGAGAGAGTTCCATGTGCTGCAGAGAAGAATGTATCCTCTGTTTTAATGGAAGAGAACACTCTGTAGACATGCACCACACTAGGAGGAAAATGTATATGTTTGGAAAATATAATGTTAAGAGAAACAAATCAGATCTATGAGCTTAAATACTATATGATATTTCTCATTTGAGTAACCCAAAATATAATAAAGAGCAAAGCAAAGGATTAACAGAAGGAAACGGAGCTCTTTTGCAAATGGGAAGGAGTTCAGGAGAATGAGATTAAGGGAGGGAACCAGGGGAAGGGGAAGTTTACATTTACAATGCTACTTACATGTATGAAATACCCACAATGAAACTAAACATTTTATGTCAAAACACGAATTAAAAATAATGAGAAGAAGAATGAAAGTGGGGAAAAGGATGTAGAAAAGGAAGGATAAACAATGGTAGGAAAGGGAATTAAAGCTGTGTTATGTGCATACACGTACTCCCTAAAATGAATGTAAAGTTCATTTACTGCAAACATGTACTAATAAAATTAAATTAAATTTAAAAGAGGGTATATACATTTCTCAGCTACAGATTTCATAATGACTATGGACACATCCACTTAGAGAAATGAAGAGGGAAAGCAGAATGTGTATCAATGTAACCAATTGATGTTAAGGTATAATATAGTTGACTAAACATCTATTTCTTCAGAAACAGAATAAGAATAAAATTTAGAAATTCAATAGTTGTTCAAGTGCAATCTTGGTTTCTAAAAGGGACTATAAAGAATTGTATATTTTAAAATATATCCAGGTCCAATTATGGACTGACCTAAAATACAATGTGTAAAGTTTATCACTACTGCCAGGTGTTTTGTTTTGTTTTGTTTTGTTTTGTTTACCCTGAGTACATCTGTAGTGACTCAGTTCTATCCTGGCAAAAGCCGTCTACAAGAATGGTGTGATGTTGTGACTATATTTTGCTTACTATTGGGTTGCATCTCCATAGGTTTGCATTATTGATCACATGTGCAAAATCAGTGTATTCACGTGCATGATCATCCTGGCTTAAAAAAAAACTTGTGTGAGGATTGATGTGTGCATGTACAAAGATTAAGCCTTTCTTCTTTAAAAATTTCCCTAAGCCATTGAGACCAGTTGGTTTGGCAAAAACAAAATGAGTTCAGCCAATACTACTAACCTCTACTGTTTCACAGAACTCATTGTGAGTGCTTTATTTATACAATCTAACATGATCCTGAGCTTGTATTTGATGTTTACAATTGCCCATATGTGTAGGCAGCCCCAACATTATTAAGCCACTTTATAGATCAGAAGATTGAGGTTAATAGAGTTTAAAGAGCTTGCCCAGGGTCAGGCAGCTAATAAACAGTAGAGCCAACACCTGAACTGAAGTCTTTGGACTGCAAGTTACACCCTTTTTTTCTGCTACCCACATCTCTTCCTTGTCAAAGAGAACCATTTAGTGGTGAGAATCCAAATTCTCTTGCTACCTGGTTGGCTTCTGGAGGCTGGAGGTATGGGGCCTAAGATGTCATAATCTTTATGCACTGCTGATACATGTTTGTTATTCATTGGGTTTCCGTTCTGCCTGCTTAAAGCCTATGAAAGTGGTGAGTAGTACTTGTGGACCAGGACTAACATATGTTTTTTTAACATCTCAGACTTTTATCCTGTGTCCTCTAGAACCTCCTGACAGCTTCTTCTTTCACCCAGAAGCAGGTGGGGCTAGCATTTCACAGTGACTCATGGTTTGTCTGTTTGTGTGCTCTGGGATCCAGAAAATAATTTATTTCCCAGACTCATTCTCTTTTTAGTCATTGTCCTTCCTGCTGCTCCCATTTTTATGGTTTCTTTCAGGTACTGAAAGAGTTAGAAACTTCCTCAAACATAAATGTTTATTCAGGGAAAGGATTTGACAGATCGGTGGCCCAGTGACTTCAGCAAGGCACACCCGTAACACAGCCAATTTAAAATATCAGGTATTCAGCAGTCAGTCAGCAGCCTGAGGCACTGATGGATTGGGGGTGCTGTCGGGACAGTATGGGCTGCTTGTGCAAGAGGGTTAAGTGTCCTGTTGAAACCTAGCTGGCTAGTGCCAGGTCCTGGCTAGTGCGGAAGGCAGTAATTACTTGCGTTTCATCTGATCAAAAAAAGTGATGCTCACGTCATACCAGCCTTAAACAACAGGTTGAATAAAAATATGAATAATTGAAGTTTTCAGATAGAAACAAAACCTTCCCATTGATGTGTAAAACAGAAATAAGCAGACCCAATCTATGTTTTCATCTTAGACATATGAATTTGGCCTGGCCAGTCCTTGAGATCACAATGCTACTACTCTGTCATGCTCTAGTGGTGGCTATCATCCAGATCTTTATCATCTCAGAGAACCAGGCGTTTGCCAAGAACATCAACTTCTACAACGTGAGGCCTCCTCTTGACCGTAAGTAGTGGTTGCCATCCTGCTTTACATCCTGGAGATATCAGAGTTTCCCTGTGATGTCCTCTTTCCATCTACCATCCGGCCTTTCTCTGGAATAAAAAGATTCTAAGTTTATACTTGGAATAAAACAGGAAGTCTTCTTCAAAGACTCAATAATCAATAGGGAAGGTGTGAAATATGTATTCTTTTCTTTTTCATTTTTAAAAAGCTCTGCTGACACCATTGATACATAGCCAGGGGTGAGAACAGCTGTTTTATTTTACCCCTAAAAGAGGTATATGTCTTACTATTCTATATTTTTTGCTTCCTATATTTTTCAGGACACTAATTATATCTCTCTCTGTGTGTATATATATATATATATATATATGCATAATAGCTGAAATTTATGACAGATTTTATAAATCCTAAATTATCTATGTATGTCCAACTTTTGAAGTCTAGTATAATTTTTGTTGAGAAAAATTCATTAAAAAAGAGAAAAATATAGTATATATGAATTAAAGAAAATTCCAAAGAAACAGAAAATATATAGAAGGAAGTAAAATTTACTCATGATTCTAAAATTCAAAGGCACTCTCTTTTAAATTTTGGAGTATTTCAGTGTTTTTTCTATGTAAGTGTATTTAAGTACATAATTTAGTGGGATCACACAAACTTAGTTTTATGTTAGTTTTTCACCATTTGTATTATATTTTAAATATTTTCAATGACTCAGAAAATATTTTAATACCTTTTACACTTTAAAGCAACTATATGACTGGTTTGTAGCTTATGAAACCATATCCCCATACTTAATGTCAGAAAAAACATAAGCAAGTTAAATGTTAAATTCATTGAAATTTTTAATGAAAATCTTTGAAAATGTACATTTCCCTTTAATTGGCCATAATCTTTGAATAAATTTTCTGTAATTATAATTACTAGATCAAAAAGCTGTACCAATTTGTACTTTAGCCACTTATTCATCAGAATTGGCTATTTTTTCAATCTGTACAGATTTAACAGATAAAAATGGATGTCATTTATTAACCTACTTAATATACTTTTATACATAATTCAAGCAAATATATTTCAGCATTTAATTTCACATCTGTTGAACTTTAGATTTATTCTTTTGCTTAGATTAATGCCCTAATACTTATCTTCCCTTGCATCTGAAATACTCACTGATTTTTAATTTTCACTCCAATTTCTCGTTATGTTTCTGGGTTGGTTTGGGATTCACCTTGACCTTTGACTCTTTTGTTCTCCAGAATTGAGAGAATCAAAAGTTATACATAGAGCCCTATGGACTGGTTATACAGAAATATAAAAAAAAATTATTTTTATTTTTATGTTTATTAAAATATCAAGATACATGGCCAAAAAAGAAAAAAAAAAATGCATTGAAGCAAGAAAGAACTAGTTGCCTTCAATCCAAACTGTTAGCAATTCAGAATTTTTCCTTTCCATGATGCTTTGGCCTGAATATAAGGGCTTAAGAATTACTATCGTCCTTATTTTAAATATTACATTCCTGATCAAAGCCTAATGTTTTGACAACTGACTTAAATAAACATACGTTAAATAAGATGACTTGTTTGAGGTTAGAGGTAGCAAAATGGGAATGTATATGGAATGTATATGGGAATGTATATGGATGGAAACTAGCAAGATTTGGTGGACTGGGGACCTTTCTAGGTCCTGTTGTTGCCTCATTGTACCTCTGTAAGTCATAAAGACCTCCATTGTCACTACCATAATTATTGTTATATTTCAGAAGTTAAAAAATATCACACACTGATTAGTGAAAAGGGGAAACTCTAGCTCAAGTTACTTTGGGTTCTTTTCAGGGGTTCACTACCACCTTCACCTAATTCCTTTAAGCCTCACTTATCTCACAATATAAATTGTATTATGTAATATAAATTATATTATGTAATATAAATTGAATAATGCCAGAGATTTTGCAAAGTGATTTGTGAGATCATTTTTGTTACTCTATGTAGGAATTTCATAGAATTGCCTGAAGAATAAAGCCCGTTGCATAAATCCAGCTCCTAAAAGCAGAAATTCTTTAAAACATGTTACTGATTTTGTGTCATATTTAATGCTTGAAATCTTTGTCTTTTAACCTGTTTTACTTCACGTTTGCCTTTAAAGCCACACCATTTCCAAACAGCTTCAAGTGTTTTACCTGTGAAAATGCAGGGGATAACTATAACTGCAACAGATGGGCCGAAGACAAATGGTGTCCGCAAAGTAAGTGTGCCGAGTTTGGCAACTCTTGCCATCTCAGTCCTGTAGATTCCTGCTGACTTCCTAGAGCGGAGCTTTCTCGTGTAGCATACAGCAGACGAATCATGTTCTGTCGGAGTGAGATTTTTCTTCTAAGGGCCTACCCAGACATTAGACTCTCCTGAGAGAATGTGAAAACTAGTACCATAGCTCCAGTTTGCAGTTGTATATACCTTGAGGAAGAATTCCTTAAATGATATTTACTAGGGAAAATGAATAGACTGCAATGTTGAGTAAAGCATTCTAACAATTTCAGAAATGCTTGATGATACCTCAGAAAAGTCATACTTACTATCTTAAAGCAAAAGAAGGCTTCGGTACTCTTCAGCCACATTAATGCCTGGGGAAAGTGTTCATTCATTTAACGAACATTTGAGTATTTTTTTTACTTTAATTCATTGCTACGTTCCCAGTGCCTAATTCAGTACTTGGCTTATATTAGGCATTTAATAAATATTTTTTGACAGATTGAATGGATGGTCACGGACATCTCTGAGTATATATTAGAACTAAGACTTGAATAACCCCAACATGTCAACCAGGCAGAGATCTATAGGAAGAATATGCAGGGAAAAGGGTACAGCAAGTACAAAAACTTTAAGGTTCGAGACTTGGCTTAGTCTCTTCAATGATCAGGATGGAGACTGGGTCCTGTGTTCTAGTAGGAGATGGGGAAGAGGAACTGGAAGAAAAGCACAGGCAGGGATGTGCAGGCTCTTCTTTTTCTGATGAAGAGTACATTGCATTGTAAATGTGAAGGGAAGGTAGGGGCATTTTAAGCAAGGAGTACAGGGTACTAATTGTGTTCTAAAATACTACGTGGGCTGCTGTGTGGAGAATAAACAGGTGAGCAAGATGGAGACAGTCATTGTCTTCAGAAAGAAGATGGGGACTTGGACCAAGTTGGTAAGAACAGAAAAGGCAGGAAACTGAATGATTTAAAATATACAAAGTTGGGGGTAAAGCAGAGAGAATGTGCTGATATAAGATTCAAAGCTGAAAAACTACTTAGAGCTTTAAGAATTAAGGCTGTTCATAATTTAGGGTATACTGTTTTGTTTTTTAGATTTTCAGGTATAAAGCAAAGACAAAAAGAAAAACAGACTTAGAATTAGAGATTACTAGTCTTTGTCTACTGTTTCCTTGAAAATTTGAGAATTTCACCATGATATTCGTAGTAATGAAACACTATACTTTTTCTAGATAAAGAATCTGTGGAATCAGTAAGTACTATACAGTGGAGACTTCTATAAGAATCTGATGCCATAAATTAACACATTGTGCTTATGACATCGACATGGTTGTTTTCTTTCTTTTTAAGAATAATTAATTGCCAAAATATTTTTCTTGAGGTGATTTTGCATTTCTGTGGAGTGATTGCCCTTAGATGGCATTTTCACTTATGCATCTGTGTGCTCGTGTAATTTTGTGCATTTGTTTCTACATGTCTACAGAAATTCATCTTAGCTATTTTGAAGTTTTCTAGGGTGATTAGTAACTCTTGTTTCTGATTTCAAAGAGTACTTATTGTTCTTTAGCAATTTGCTTTAAATCTCCCTAAAATGTGAGTAGAAGGATTAGAATAGTTGTAAATTGGGGCACTGGCTCCCAACCTCATAAGCCTTATCTTTTTAACATTTTACTAGAAATGCCTTTTTCTTCTAGGGCTTTGCTTAATATTCCAGTTTGTCACTCATAACTAAATCCATTTTAATAACCATACAAGGAATATGCAATGGCCATTTCTGGAGTTTAGAACCTTACATCAGTGGAAGCTGTAGCTTTCCACCAGTAAGACAACATTAGAGTTTGAGAAAGTGGAAGAATCACCTGTGCTGTGTCCACCCTGAGAAGCTGCTCTCAGTGAGATCAGCACAGAATGACCCTACATTTCAGCATTGCGTGACAGCTTCCTCTTGACTATCTGCCAGTCAAGTCCCAAAGAAACCAACCATCTAGAATTGTTACTGAGGGTGTGATTTTTTACTTTTCTTTTTGTCATCATTTATGGGAGTGGTAGTCAACCACTTCTTAGGGGCAAGTAGGCCTGAAGCTATTGTTCTTTGTCATCTTAGGTTTCCTTTTGTCCTTATAGGTTCACTCCTGTGGTCTGTTGGTATTGTGAAAAGAAATACTCTAGGTAATAGGATATGACAGGAATGATATTTTTGTTTTATTTACCCTGTCTTCAGTGCTGAGCTGTTTAGCTGCTTTCACCATGATCTTTTGAATGAATGCATGCACTTCCCAGTTTTCAAGGCTTGGTTGTTGGGAGTAAAAGTTGAAATGCCTTGTCTAAAACACTTTGTGGCTCCCTTTTGTTCTGACCATTCACTCTTTTGATAGCATATTCTGCAACACCATCTAGTATAATATTAAGTTTACTGGGGACAGCATAATTTTCCGAGTAAGAGCACATACTCTAAGAAAGTGCCTCAGCTAGAATCCTGTTTATGTGACCTTTCTGCCTATGTGGCCATGAGCAAGAAACTGTGCCTCAATTTCTTTATCTGTAAGTGAGGCTGTTAGTATGGGCTATCTTAATGATTATGGTGAGGAGTAAGTGAAGGAACAGTTTAGGAGGGTGCCTAGCTGATGGTACATACACAATATGTGTTTGCTTTTTTGCATATTTGTAATGCTTACCATAACCCTATCAAGATACAAGCACACTCACTATCATTATTTCCTCAGGAAGATATTAAGTCCAAATCATCTAACATGGCTGATTCACTGTGACAGAGGTAGTTCCATAAGCCCAATCTTGTCAGCTTCAGCCCCATCTTTGTATTTCACCTTTGTATTCCACCTTTTGTGGGCCCTGATCCACAAACTAAAAGGCATTTCCTTGCCTTTGGATGTCTATAGACATAGGACTAAAGCAGAATATCCTGGGATGTTGAATGAAATCACTTTCTTGGAAGAATCCCCAGTAATAACATACAAGTGATTAAATATATAGAGATAACTATATAGATATGACTTAATGATATGGTGTGATTGAAATGTACAGATAATGTTTAAATTTTTAAAAATTATCACAGTAAAGGAAATACTGCTACTAATCTCCCCTCAAAATAATCTTAGGGCTGGGGATTTAGCTCAGTGGCATAAGCACCTGCCTGTCAAATGTGAGATTGTGAGTTCAATACCTGGTACCAAAATAATAATAATACTAATGATAACAGTAAAATACTCTCTTTGCTTTGAACAGATTTATTTCATCATTCTTGGCACTTTCTGAAGCAGTTCTGGAAGTCCTCTTTAATAAGCATCTTTAGTCATCTTGCCTTGATGTCTTGAACTGATTCAGAAAATGTAACTTTCATAGTCATACTGACTTTGAGAAGCTGCATAGGGCTAAACTTGGTGAATAAGTGGATTCAGGACACACTGAAATGCTTTTTATGAACCTATCTTTCTGTCCGTTTCATTCTCTCCTTACAGCAGCACTCCTCATTTTTTGATCCTACCTCCAAGGCACTCACAAAAGAGGATTTCCAGAAATGCTTTGAGGAGCACTAATGAAAATATGTCTTTTACTGTAATAAAAATGTAAACATTCAGTGTATTTTGATCACACCTCATATACAGAGCAGAAAGTGGGTGGGAAACAAACAATTCAAAAAGCAAAGAAAAATGCAGATACACTGATGAAGAAAAGTCAAGCAGGTTGGAAGGATTAGAATTTGAGTAAGAGTTAGATGAGAAAGGCAGATGATCATGACATATGATTAGAACCAACATCTTTTAATTACCATTTTCTGCCTGCCTTGTGAGATACCAATGTGTGATGATGAAGAAACTTTTTGTTCACAATTTTCATTCTGACTTTGGAGTTCTAGAACAAACATTCAGAGGGACAGAAGATCAGTCACATAAATTCTTGTGTGTTCAATGAGCAGACCCATGGTTTTGATGAAACTTTGTTCATTTTTTTCTCCTCTACTTTAGTTGATGTCAAAGAATGGATGCCTGTTTATCTTCATTTTCAACACACACGCACACGCACACACACACTTCACAAACTGATACCTTCCCAAGAGTCTACCTAGACCAGTGATGGTGAATATTTTAGTGACCAAATGCAAACTGCAACCAAAACTCACTTACTTTTCATAAAGGGTCAACACTGCAAATTGATCCTGAATATTGAGGTTTTAGTTTATAAAACACAACTCTAATTAACTTTTTTTTTTTTTTTTTTGTAGTACCAGGGATTGAACTCACAACCTCACACTTGCCAGGCAGGCGTTTATGCCGCTGAGTGCTGAGCTAAACCCTGGCCCACAATCTTTTGTCTTAAAAAAAAAAGAAATGACAAGCATGCTATAGGTTCCTCACCGCTGAGCTGAATAGTCCAAAGTCCATTGCTATTGTATTTCTCAGTGTGACAATAGAGAGATCTGTTTTGCAATGTGCTAAATGAAGTAGCTTTATTTATTTATGTATTTGTTTATATTTAGATACACAGTATTGTTTGACAGTTCACCACTTCACCAGCCATGGAAGAAGTACCTCTATCACCAAAAAGTGTGCATCCAAAAATGAATGTCACTTTGTTGGTTGCCACCACAGCCAAGATTCTGAACACACGGTAAAAGATCATTGAGCATGTACATGCATAAAGTTTTGCCTGAAGTCATAAAGATCATTGTGCATGTGTAAAATTACTGTCTAAAAATCATATGCTGGTGATGGTAAGTTATGCATCTTGGAAGAAGCAGGAAGGATAAAGAATGTTGGACATATTTACACTTTATGGAAACACCATTATAGTGCTTCAACAGAAACTAAGAGAAGTTAAGGATTTTCTGTACTTTAACAAGAAATAATGTTACTAAAATGAATGATAATGCTCAGATTCCAGAGTTAGAGCCCAGGCCTCAGAGTCTCAGTGAATGATCTGAATCCAGTTCTGGCGGCTAAAGGATAAACCCTCCACCACAGGATCAACACTACAGAGCCCAGCTCATGTGCTTTGTTCCTGGCTAGACATCACCAGGAACGCTGCACAGGGAAGTTAGAAGATAGAAAGAGGGAAGCAGTGCCCCATTTTACCAAGGAAACCTGTCCTGCTTGCTCAAAGGAGGAAGTGAGAGTATGACAGATTAATATCAAGTTAATATAATGAACTATATTTTCATTATACTTGAACTTTAATTTTCTTTGTCATTCTAAATGAGTATTTTACTCTTTTATGTGCTTGAGATCCTGAAATGTTTGAGAATAAAATTAGTTGGAAGGGTATTAATTTCATGAAGTTTTAGAATCTGAGTTAGCCTGGAAGTATAGAAAATGATCCTGATATCAGTGATTGTTAGCTCTAGCTATAGAAGGATCAGCTGGGAAGCTGTCACCAGGTGTGGTGTGGAAAGCTAGGTGAACACGCCAGACCAACTGAAATAACCTCAGAGTAGAGGGCCTGGGTGTAAGATCTTTTAAGAAATTTCCGAAATTTCTTAAATCTGAATGTGCAGCCAGGGTTGACAACCACTGAGGGTAGGTGCTTAGAGATGATAATTGTATGTCATTCAGTAAGCCTTTATAAATGGCTGGGTATTTCAGGTCAAGTATTGTTCCACGTATGCATTGGTACTATCATAAGAGATTAGTTCCCTTGGAAACATTCTCTGAAAATGTGAGGTTAGAGACTCAGCCTTTTTTTTCTCCTTTTTCTACCACTCAGCAGTTGTAATTAGCAAACCATTGCAGCAGTGATGATAGGAATCAGGTGTGAACACAGACAATAGAGAATCATTATTATTACCTAACAAGTAATATTGAGAAAGAAAATCAATGACTAATTCCAAAGGTTCTTAGCTTTCAATTTTGTTTCAGTGTTTTTCCTTATAAGCCCTTAGATTTGGTGACTCAGTCAAACAGCCTTATTTAGTTTCCCTTCCTCTTGTTTGCCTTGCTTATGCTTGAGTCTGATGGAGATAAAGCATGGTAAGGAAGGAAAGACTGTCAAATGGTTTTACCTGCAGATCCTCTGCAGAGGAGCGGCCCAAAGGCCTGGTGATGTACAGACTAGCTAATTTACTCTAATGGGCTGCTTCACATGGAGCTGAAGCAGTCTTTCATTTGCTTTTATGTGTTTTTCCTTCTTCCTGTCATTCACTCTTCCATTTCTGTGTTCTTTTTAATAGGAATGCAGGTCTTGCTGCGAAGGAATGATCTGCAATGTAGAACTGCCCACCAACCACACAAACGCAGTCTTTGCTGTCATGCATGCTCAGAGGACATCTAGCAGCAGTGTCACCATGCCCTACCTGCCAGTGTTTGTCTGGGTCTTCGTGCTTCCACTGCTATGATGTCACCTTTCTTAGGAGAGGAGAGACCAGCCCTCTAAAGCACAAGGCAAAATCTGTGTGAACACTGGAGTGAAGATCAGTCTTGGACTTGAAGATGATACCACAAGGCAGAAGCCAGTGATTTACTTTGCTAAAATGTTCTTGCATGAGATAATAACACTGAGAATGGGGGCTTGGTAGGGACTGAAAGGACCTGAGTTCCATGCTCCCTGATCAATTAGGGCTGCATCCTGTCAGTTCTTCAAGAAGTATTCAGCCAGTATTGTTGACAAGTGACAAAAACCTGGATAGTCTTGGCCTGACCAGGACTTTAGCTGAAAGGACTTCTTGACCTCACTGACTCCCTCAAAGGCTACCTAGTCAGACCGTCTGGCTTCTGTGGTTAGCTCTGAGTGTCTCTGCAAAATCCTACCCACTAGTGAGAAGCACTGTGTTATGTTAGACAACCTAACATAATCAACTCATAAAGAGAAAAGGTTTATTGTGGCTCTTGGTGTGTGAAGGTCTTAGTCCATGATAAATTGTTGCCTTTGGACCTGTGGTAAGGCAGCACACATGGTAGGGAGTGCGTGGCAGAGCAAAGGGCCACTTTCCTTGTGGTGTGACATGGAAAAAAGAAAAGAGGAGACCAGGGTCCCCCAATCTCCTTTGAAAATGGACCCCCAGTTACCTGAAACTGCTCACTATCTCCCTTTTAAAGGCTCTACCTCCTCCCCAAGGCACCCAAGCTAAAGACCAAACTTTTAACATGCAAGCCTTTGGGGGACACTCCAAATTCAAACCACAGCACTCAGTAACAGTGCAGTTGGTGAGAAAGTCAACTATTTAAGAAAACTTCTGGTTGAACTAACATGAAATCCATTTGCCAGTTGTGAGGTGGGGGAGGGGGGATAAGGCTTTTTAATTACACAATGTAAATGCATGCTGTGTGTTTCTTGACTGGCAGAGGCCTACAATGAGACCTATCTACCAGTGTCACTGAACTTGAATTTCCATGTACCAGGGTGATATATGCTGGCTTAAAGAATAAAATTCTATGCCAAAGTAGCTTGGATGTGTTGCTTTTCTAGAAAAGAATTCTGCGGAATTGAAGAGATCAGGCAGCCTTCTTGATCAGTGGGGGAAAGACTGTTACCAAATGCACTCTTAGAAGTAGAGTGTGATTGAAGGTTTAAAGAGTCCAGGTCTGGGGTGGTTGCAGGAGATCTCTTTTCCTCCATCCAACTACCTTCTCCCTGAATGGCGAGTCCACCACTCATTGTCTCCTTCTCTTTCTCCTTATTTCAAATGAACATCTTTATTTCTAAAATCCTGATTTCCTGCCTTCACATTTTGGAGTGACCACTGTGCCCTTGTATGTGTAGAGATAAGTTGGTGCAGTTTTTTCTCCTACTAAACATGCACTAGTTAGAATGTTGGCTGCTCTGTAGGCACATTTAATCATGGGTTGGAAAACTAAAGCCCATAAGTCAAAACCATTTTTGTTAATAACATTTTATTAGAGTACAGCCACATGATTTAAGTATGTGTTAACTGTGTCTGCTTTTGTGCTACAACAGCAGGGTTGTACAGATGCAGCAAAGACCATGCATTATGCAGAGTGTAAACATCTTACTATCCAGACCTCTGCAGGAAAAGTTTGTTGACCCTTAACGTACAAGAAGATTGCTGATGAAGAAAGCTGCTTTCTTTGCAGGGTCTTTGTGCTAATGATGGACATTTAGCCTGGGAAATGATTTTCAGGATACTTTGTTTGTGTTCTTTGTCATCTGTGTCAGTGAATTTTTCTTCTGTGTTTTGATTGGTTGTTCCATTTATTCAGTTCTGACTCTTGGTAATCATATATTGATGTCAGATAGTGGGCTATACAGTTTTGTCTCTTCCCATTCTTGATAAACTGGAAGCATCTTATCTTATTGCTCTTTATCTTCCCATAAAATAAAAAGTATAGGGTAGACAAAATTATTTCCCTGTCTTTGACCCAACCTTAGGCTCATCTGGAAGGATTGGTTTTGAAGCCTGATGTACATTTATATCCCTTTTCACTCAACACCTTAAAATATTTGTGTTTCTTAGTTTGTGCCTGTTAGAGATTAATTATATATGACTTTCACTTGAAACATTTTAATAGCATCTTTGGTGTCTTTTCATTCCCCAGGGTTTCTTTTGACTGTGTAATTGACGAATTGTCTGGTAAAAAACCATTAGCAGACTGTAAATTTTTTTTTCCTGATTTCATTTCTTCTGTCTACATTAATCTCTCTCTCTCTCTCTCTCTCTCTCTCTCTCTCACACACACACACACACACACACACACACACACACACACACACAAACACCTGGGAGGCTACTTGAACATCACTTGGGGATCCTGCAGAAAAATTTTATTTCTGGACCCCACAAAGTCAGTTTATTACTGGAGTGAACCAGCAAAATCTGTATTTTCAACAAACTCCTCAAGATCTTTCTGCTACTCAGCTACTTTGGGAACCACCAAATTAGGGAATAAAAGGTGGAGATGATATTGGCGATCAGAAGATTCAGAGTCCTTAACCTGGAAGCTCAGTGCATTAAATTGACTATTATCTCTATAGTGTAATTGTAGTTTCTAATTTTTATTAGTAGATGGTTGCAATATATAATATTCATATTCTCTATATAGGGTTGGTATGTGTACATACCACATTTTCATTTTTTTCATCCCCTTTCCCTTCCTTCTCCCTCCTCCCTCTAACTGTTGACTTCCCCTTTGAGAAAGATCTATCTCCTTATTTTTGTTACCTATCTTTTATTTTGCTCTTTATACATAATTTGGGCTTCTTGTATAAGAGAAAGTATGATATATTTAAGCATGTGTCTGATTTATTTCACTTAATATTATGATCTCAAGGTGCATCTATTATCCTACAAAGGCCTCAAGTTCATCTTTATGGAAGAGTTGTATTGCATTGCATATAAATGCCACATGTAATTTTAAAACTAGAACATAAAAGATTGAATCATTAGAGTTTAATGGATGGACTTTTCATTCCATGACATAGGACATATGATGGCCAAGGAGCCAAGATCTTAGTCTAATTTAATTGTAAAGTTTCCTACCATATTTGCAGTAGTGGTCCAGAAAAGAATATGTAGATATGTCATTATAGAAAAGACAATGGGATTAACTAGGAATATAAGGAGGATTTGAAGAAAACTTGTCAAGTCTATTGTTGATAGAGCTATATTCTAAAAGAAGCTTTGAATTCCAATCCATCAATCACAAAGTGGTGAGGTAAACTAACAAGTTTTTCCTCAGCAGAGCTCCAACTCTCCCTAAATTTAACTCCGAGAGAAGTTAAGGTCAAAAAATCACAGGCATTACCTATCATACAGTCTGCATCTTATCATGCCAGCCATTAGGAAAACTGTATCCATACATTCCATAAGGGGAAAGAAGATGAGAAAGAGACTATAATGCCACACAAAATATGAAATGAAAAATATGGACTAACGTCAAGTTGTGACATGAAATTGGAAAAAAGGTATTTCACATTTGTGAAATGACTTAATTCTTAGGCAAATTTTTTGGGATATGCAGATTGCCAGCTAATGAAAGTTTGCTTTGACTTTTGGATCTTGGACATTTTTAATCTCATCATTTGTTGCTGACTGTATGATTTATAGAGAGTTCCATTGTCCTGTTGACCATATGAATACAAATAATGCTGGAAGACAAAAGCTAGTAGATGCACAAAGAAACTGGAAGACAGATGACTGTGATAATTCAAGTGAGTCTGCCTGAGGGACAGTTCCACAACTGAAACTGACATAGTCCAACATCTTTCCATCGTGCAGCCCACTCTCCCTGCATCTTCAAAATTTCTCTTTCCCAGTCTCCTCTCTTACTGCCTTGGCCTCTGTTTCATCAGATGCTGATGGTGGAGGCTGAGGGGACTTTGGGGTGATCTGGAGTTTGAGATAATCATGGTTGGACTGTGAAAAATACAGCTGACATAGCTTGATGCCAGAAATACCAGTTAGCAGATCTAGCAATCTGAATTTTATAAGCATGTGATTCTGATTAGTGATTCTTCCAGTGATACTCATATGGGATCATTTTTAGAAATAGTAACTCAGGGTCTCTGTAGGATGCAGAAAATATCAGACATTTACTAAAACTGAACAAAAAGAGTTTTTGTTTTTTTTGTTTTTTTTTGTTTTTTTTTTTTTTTAGTTCATGAAAACTAGTCCCAGTTAAGGGTCCAGGAAGAACCTGGAGAACACAGTGGCTGGGCCAAGTGTCGTGCTGGAGAAGGTTCCAGCATGGGACATGTGGGGCCTCCCTATGAAGGGAGTCTGTGACTCCTTCCAGGCAAGCAGAATCTCCATGTACTCAGCCATCAGCTGTAGCTCCTGGAGCCAGGGCCAAGTAAGACAGTAAGAAGCAATACAAGGGGCTCATCCATAGGGTTAAGCATAGATTAAAAACCAGATTCACTGTAAATAGTTTGCAAAAGAAGATAAGCAATGTGTATCAAGAAGTCTTGGAGACAAATATTCTGTAAAATTTCTGAGCGTCCCCAGCTATAGAAGGCATGTTTTATAGAGTGCTATAGTCATCAGGTGACTTCACTGATGCATAGAGAAGCTCAATCAGAGTACTGTAATTAACTTCTTGGTTCATAGACCAGAGGGAGACTGGGTTGCTGGTTGGACTTAATCCAGTCATTCTAGCTCCACACTCTACTATTCTTTTGACTGTCACCTCCCTCGTGTCGTTGGTAACCAGATGGCTTCTGCTGTGCCATATACTTGTGTGGTATCCAGGAGAGCAGACAGAGGGATGCTACTGGAAGCTTTCTAGAAATGGAATGTCTTCACAGAGGTTCTCAGTAAACCACAAGCAAGAAAGATATGATCATTCATGACTTCACACAGCCAAGGGAAGCTCTATCTCCAGAAAGATGTGTGGTATATGGTGGAGGACAGACATCTGAACTAAACAGGATATCAGGAAGGATGGAGGGAGACACAGATCTGGGTAGGCAGCCAAAATCATCTGCTGTAGATTTCCACTGTGTGAGACTGTGCAGGGAGGCAGCTGTTAGGGAGACAGAGGCAACGCTATTATGTCAGAGATAAGAGACCTGAGCCTTGCAGAGCTGCACAGACTTGCCCTAAGCACACAGCTAGTTAGAAGCACAGTCAGACAGACTCCCGCTATGTACAGCAATTCTCACCATGTTCTCTTTTGATTAATATACATTGTAGATCTCCACGGGGTGACAACGCAGCACTTGCTAAATTATTTCATGGAAAAAACTTTTCTCTGCTGAGAATCTGGGTTCATGTACTTTGTATAGCCAGCCAACAGTCTTTCAAATATTGATAGACACCAGGGGGAAATCTGCCAAAATATGGAGGTGGGAAGATGCTGACTCTTAAAATAGATGGTGTACCATAGGTACTTAATACATGCATGGTGAATAAATGAATCTTAAACTTTCAAAAATATTTCTCTGAGCTTCTAGACTTTTCCCCACATAGGACAGCAGTGGCAAAAACTACATCAAAAGGAAGCTTTAAATACTTTTTCTTTGGTTCTTTTCTTATGTTTGTTGACTAGTTTCCTGATCTTAAGCTAGCTCATTCCTCACTATCTCTTGAATTATTTTTTCTCATTTCTTTCTATGTCATTTCTGAAGAAGTTTTAAAAGTAGTTGTTTATTATCTTTAAATATTTCTAGATTTAATATGAAATCAATCTTGAGTCAGAGATGGGCCTGAATGGTAAGTATTTATTCTCACATTAACAAATGAATTTAGACCAGAATTTGTTAATGAATTGTAAATGGCTTTTTTCAGTGATCTGGATAGATCTTTAAAGGATGTCTTTTCATGTCTTAAATCAACAAAGACAAATAAAGACAGAACTAAGTGGAAAAGTAAGTTTAAGATATAATGCAGTGTTTTGCCTGATTTAAGTAAACCCACATTTCTTTCAATGAATCTTTTCTCGTAATTAGTAATAAATCCCAATGTCTAACATTACTTTTAGACAGATG